AATTTAGATCTGGGTATACACTGGAAAACTGGGGTGGGGGGTAGGGGGAAATTTAAAATTTCCTGGGCCACAAGTCTCAAATTTTTATAATAAAATATTGAATAATAAACTCACAGTTAATACCTGAATTTGCAATAAGAAGCAAGATATATTTTCTCAAGGACTTTTCCTGTAGTTGCTGATATACAAAGCAGCCAATTATGAGCAGTCAGTGCTATGAGTGAGGACTTATAATCTGACTGATTGGGAAGTACTTCCCCCTAAAAAAAGAAATGAGATGTAAAAATGAAACTGTTTGGCCATGAACAATTTGCAGTAATCAATGTCCAAAGAAAACAGCTAAATACTTAAATAGTCAAATAAGTAAACCAAAGAAGAAATATTAAATGCACAAATAGAGAATGAACACAAGGAAAGATAAGATTGCAGGTGATTATTTTCATACTAACTTATTGAGTTTATTCACACAACGCACTTACTTAGTGCCTAAAGTAATTTATTATTATTTGATAGTTATTATTAAGTATTCAAATATTAGCCAATCATAACAGTAGTAGTAGGAGTATTAATAGTGATTTTGCTCCTATGATAACCATAACAACAGCTCTTAAAATCATTTATAATAGCATTATAATTAACAGTCCTCAGCTAGAACAGACATTCACATTGTCCCCTTTTTTCTTTACTACACAACTTGTTTTCCTTCAGATGGAAGTCAAAATGATAAAAAGTATAAATTATCCCATTATTCATTGTAGTTCTGACCTAACCTCAAATGAAAAGCTAGAATCCAGAATCAAAGAAGCCAAAGAACAGAAGATAGACCTGGTTTTTAAAATGACCTATGTCACTAATGAATTACCCTAGAAAAAGGAAAGGATAGCTGCTTGGGTGCTCCTGTCACTATGGAGTTATCACAAGGAAGAAGTCTAATGCAGGAAGAAAAGAAAAAGCAAATGTTTCTACTTTGATTTGTGGACTAAAAAGGTAGTTCTTAGAAAAAGTTGAGATTAGAGAAGTTGAAATTAATCTAGTATTTGCTTAGGTCAAAAATTGAACAGAAATGAACGAAGGCATAGTTATTTTATAATGCTCCTTAAAAATTTGTCTTCCCTTTCAAATGTTAGGGGAAAAAAAATTTTTCCTTGTATTTTGGTTTTTCTTTTAAAAAACCAAAATATTATTTTGGTTTTATTACCTCTGGAAGTCTTACACTGAATTCACAGGCAATGATGTAAATACTTTTATTCTACAGTGTTTTTTTTTTTTTTTCTTTCTTTTTAACAGAGACAGAGTCCAGGCTGGAGTGCAATGGCACAATCATAGCTCACCGTAACCTCAAACTCCCAGCTCAAGTGATTCTCCTGCCTCAGCCTCCCTAGTTAGTTGGGAATATAGGCACACAACACCACACCTGGCTAATTTTTAAATATTTTGTAGAGATGGGGTCTTGCTGTGTTGCCCAGGCTGGTCTCGATCTCCTGGCCTCAAGTGATCCTCCTACCTCAGCCTCCCACATCCCTGGGATTACATGCATGAGCTACCATGCCAGGCCCCACAATGTCTTATATAAGAATCATTTCATGGAGATTTTAAAGTTTTAAAAAAAGGTACTAATTATATCTTATTAAAAAATTTGAAGCAGCATATATAATAGGTTTGAACTATCTTCTTAAACAAAAAGTTGTATTTCACATATTGTCTTAGAAAAGAACAGCACTAATTTAAAAGTAGTCTCATATCAGTATGTTAACAACAATACAATATGCTTCTTAGTTTTTCTTAACGGAAAATCTTGCTTCACTTCAAATGAGAACAAAATGTTTACAAGAGAAGTAAGGATAGGAGTTAGGTTACTACAAACTTTATGTTTTGCAAGATTGCTCTAAACTTTGGGAGTTTTGTACTAGTGCATTAAAAACTTTCTTAATTAAGAAATCTGCCATTTTCCCCTCCATGCACCCACCCAGGTGAAAATGGATTAAAAGGCTTTAAATTGCTATAGGCACAGCAGTTATTTTTAGCTTTTCAATAAGGAGATGAGGAAGAAAACACAGACTTCCAGTTTTCTGGTTTTTAAAAAAGAGCTTTCTGTGAGTAGACAATAAGTATCCAGGGAAAAAAGAAAGCAGCAGCTCTAGAAAACTACAATTTTATGTAAAACAGCCTGGAAAAACAAAAAAGAATTTAAATTTAGAGTATAACTTTTTATCCTTTAAACATTATTTTTGGTCACATATTTTGAGTACTATTTTTCCTAAAGAATGACCAACCAGATTCAAAGACCTGATTAATTTGTCTTAGTATTTCCTAAGTGGATTTCTTAGAACCCTGATCCCGTAGAGAACTCACATAGGTTGAGTGTCCTTTATCCGAAATGCTTGGGACCAGAAGCATTTCAGATTTCAGATATTTTCAAATTTTTGGAACATTTGTATATATATAATGAGATATCTTGGGGAGGGGACCCAAGTCTAAGCACAAAATTCATTTATGTTTTACGTACACTTTATACACACAGCCTGAGCGCAATTTCATATAATATTTGTAATAATTTTGTGCATGGATAAAAAGTTTTGACTATATTTTGACTGCAAAACATCATATGAGGTCAGGTGTGGAATTTTCCACTTGTGGTGTCATGTTGGTGTTGAAAAAGTTTTGCATTTTGGATTTCAGATTTTCGGATTAGGGATGCTCAATCTGTATTTAGAAATATTCCTCAAAAAAGGAAGTTCTATGATCAAGAGAGTTTGGGGAAATTGTTTGACAATCATCATGGACATTAGTATTATTGTAAGTATTATTACTATTAAAGGCTCTGAGCAGTAATTCTATAAATGAAGTTTAATCTTTTAAACTCAGAATGTCCCAAACATAGTTTTCCATAGCCCAATTCCTCTCAACTCCTTTGGCATCTATACACCTGTTAATATCCTATTAAAACATCGTTCTGAAATATTCACACCAGGACAATGCTTTGGTCTGGTGAAATGAACTTATGCTATTATTTTATTTTTATCATTATTTTCTTAACAACACGCATGGAAGAAACTCGTAAGAATTTAATTTTCAAAGAGTCATGTAACATAATTGTTGCTCTAAACGCTTTTTATTCACTATATTAAGTGGAATGATCTCTTAAACACTAAGAATAATTATACACTAGCTGATATTGCTTATAAAAGTTTTAATCAGTTTATAACCTTTTCTAGTTTTCAAGATTTAAAAAACTGTATTTAATTTTAAAAACACATTCATAATTTTTTAAAGATAGGAATTATTTCATGAGGAAAAATAATAATCAAAAAATAATCTGTCCTCTTGATTGCTTAAAAGATTCAGGAATCACTATAGTTAAATGTTACTGCTTTCTACAAGATATTAACAATAACCAGTTGTTTTAGGCTAAAAGTGCTTTGGGAAACAAATACTCTAAAAACAAGTCTTACCACTGGGCATTCCCACAATAAAGCATCCTCTATTTTTTCTGATTTGGAACATTTTGGCATTTCATAAAGTTTTCTTGGCTCTGATGCAACACTGGGAAAAAAAGAAAATAATTATTCTTCCTGATAACTGAGACTGTATTTGTTCAGGTTTGAGAGATTTTTTTTTTTTTTTTTGAGACAGAGTCTCACTCTGTTGCCTGGGCTAGAGTGCTGTGGCGTCAGCCTAGCTCACAGCAACCTCAAACTCCTGGGGTCAAGCGATCCTCCTGCCTCAGCCTCCCGGGTAGCTGGGACAACAGGCATGCGCCACCGTGCCTGGCTAATTTTTTCTATTTTTAGTTGTTTGGCTAATTTCTTTTTATTTATAGTAGAGACGGGTCTCGCTCTTGCTCAGGCTGGTCTCGAACTCCTGAGCTAAGCGATCCTCCCACCTCGGCCTCCCAGAGTGCTAGGATTACAGGCGTGAGCCACTATGCCTGACAGACTTTTTTTATGCAGAGATTTGGAATACCAAAATACAATTTGTTATTTGCTTTCCCCTTAACTAAATGTTAACATTTTTTTCTGACCACATAATCCATAACATATATTAATGGAAAAAAATCTGAAAAATATAATAAGATTAAAGTAGTTTATGATACTTTAATAAGCTGCCGAAAATAAACATTATTAACATTTTGGTTCATTTCCTTCTAGTTTTCTTTATATACATACACCTACTTAGACACTGTTTTCCAGAATTGGATCATATTGAATTCTTTCTTTATGCCTGAACATTTATACTATGAATATCTTGGTTGAATTCCATCAAGCTCATAAACTTTTGTTCTGATATTTAAAATGAAAATTAGTACATAAAAAAGGTCTCATTACTTTAGAATGAAAATTAGTGGGTAAAAAAAGAAATACCTTTTATGGTTTTCTTACTCCCAAATTACTTTACAGAACTGTTGCATAAGTTTATACTTCTGCCAATAAATATTGAACACTATTATCTTTGATGTGAAAAAGTCTCTTAATTTATATTTCTTTGATTACTACTTAGATGTGATCATAAATATTCCTTTTTTTTTTTTTTTAACCTATGCATGGTAGCACATGCCTGTAGTCACAGCTACTCAGGAGGCTGACGCAGGAGGATCACTTGAGCCCAAGAGTATGAGGTTACAGTGATCTATGTTGATGAAACTGCACTCTAGCCTGGGTGACACAGCAAGATTACATCTCAAAAAAAAAAAAAAAGTTATCTTTTTTTAACTGATGAATTTTAAACTTAAATTACTGTGGAAAGAGGAACAATTTTTCAGGGTAACAATTTTATTCACTTTTGATGTTCTCTCATTGATTTAAAGGTTTAAACCAAACAGAATTTCACAGGAATGACTGCAACCTCATATGTGATTCTAACCTGTGGGTAAAAACCCCTGGATGCTAAAGAACTCCAAATACTACCATTTACCATTGTAACATTAATTAATGTCACTTTTCTAATTTAAAAAAATTTTTAATTAAAGCAGGTACCTCCAAATTGGGGAAATTATAAACTGGATATTAAATGATACCAAAAATTATTGCTGAAACCAGCCTGGGCAACATAAACCTTGTCTCAAAAAAAAAAAAAAGAATTACTGCTAATTTTGCTACGTGTGACAATGACATTATAATAAGAAAATGTCCACATTTCCACTTCCAGCATGAAAAGCTCTGTGAACACACTTTTCACAGAGTGTGTGAAAATTATAAAAGGACAACTATTTAAAGTCTCTAGAAATGGTCCTGGGGACATACAGTATGAGGAAACATTTATTCAAGAAAACCTACTACAGCTCAGTAAGAATAGTGAGGGTCTGTGGTGTTTGAACCAGGGCTTGCTCCCTCCCTCCCCATTCCCAGTTCAGCAGGATGAAAACACCACTCCAGATTGGTGTAGCTCCCTTTCAGCACAGCTTCCATTCAGAGGGTCATCTTGGGGGGGGGGGGTGAGGGAGGCACGCTGTCGCTCAGGCTGAGTCCTGGGTGAGTGTAGTCAAGAGGTGGGGCTCCCCACTTCCACCCAGCCCCCATTCACAGGATGGAGGCTCTACTTTGGGTGTGGCACAGTTGAGAATACTGGGGCCCTTACTGGCCTTGTCCCTCCTTATAAAGCAGTGGTTCCACACTGAGAAAGGCAAATTGAGAAGATCTGAGGTTAGTATTTCCTCAACCCCAAGTACTCAGCTTTTAGAATAAGGGAGTCACTCAGAGAGAGGTATGCTATAGACTCCCACCACCGGCTCAAGAGCCTTGGCTCAAAGATTTTGCCTGAAAGAAGCAGGCCATAAAACAGATGGCCCCCAGTCACTATACGGAAAGACTGTCTTTATTTGCAACAGAATGTGGAGAAGTTCAAGCCTAGGAGCACTCTCAAAACCTGTGGAGGTTGTGACGAAAGGCAAATGGGAGGAGGAAGTTGGTAGATTCATTGGAAATACAAGCTAAATTGTAGGCTGGCTAATTTGCCAGAGAGAACCAGAAAAAGATAGCTCAGAGGAGCCCTCCTGGGGTCAGAACAAATCTCAGATGCTGACTGTCCTCTCTAAATGCTGGTTTCTGGTCCAACAAGAAAAGAACTTGGAACTTGTCACTCCTGTCCTCACAAGAAAAAGTCTGAAGAAACTAAAAACCAACACCAATTCTTAGATCCATCAGAGAATTGAGGCCACAGGGCAAACTGCTGTTTCCAAAATTAAAGAGGGAGGTGGATACTGACAATCACAGTTTACTAGGAACAGAAGCCCAGGAACAGGCCACTGGAGCCAATAATGGGAAGACACAAACAAGGACACTAGAGGAAATTTTAACCTCTTGACACCTACAACTACAGCAAACAATAATCACAGCTTAGCTCCTATCCAGATAATCGTAAAATCTCATTCTGAAGGCCTATTTACCTCAATTCTTTCTACCCAACATATCATATATAGCCCTAGACAACAATAACAAAAAAATTGCTAGGCATGCTAAAAGGCAAAATACAAAGTTTGAAGAGACAAAGCAAGCATCGGAACTAGACTCAGATATGACAGAGATTTTGGAATTATCAGATCAGGAACTTAAGATAACTATCATTAAGGCTAGTGCAGTGGTGTGCACCTGTAGTTCCAGCTACTCAGGATGCTGAAGTAGGAGGATCACTTGAGCCCTGGAGTTCAGGCCTGTAGTGCACCATGACTGTGTCTGTGAATAGCCACTGCATTCCACCCTGGGCAAGATAGCGAGACCCCATCTCTAAAAAGAATAAATAAGTAAAATAATTAATATGCTAAGGGGTCTGATGGAAAAAGTGTACAACATGTAAGAAGGGATAGGTAAATTAAGCAGAGAAATAAAAATCCTAAGAAATAAATTCAAAAGGAAATGCTAGAAAACAAAAACACAATAAGGCAAATGAAGAAGGCCTTTGATGGGTTCATCAATTTACTGGATGCAGCTGAGGAAAGAATCAGTAAGCTTGAAAATAGGTCAACAGAAACTTCCCAAAATGGAGTGGGGGGTGGGGGGGAAGAAAAGAGCAGGACAGATTATCCAAGAACCATGGGAAAATTATAGAAGGTGCAACATACACATAAAGGGAATACTAGAAGGTACAAAAAAAGAGAAAAGGAAATATTTGAAATAATAATGGCTGAGAATTTTCCAAAATTAATGACAAACACCAAACCACAAATACAGTAAGCTCAAAGAACACCAAGCAGGATAAATACCAAAAAATACTACATCTAGGCACATCATATTCAAAGTGCAGAAAATCAAAAACGAAGAGAAAAATCTTGAAAGATGCCAGATGGAAAAAAAGCACCTTAGCTACAGAGGAACAAAGATAAGAATTATATTGTACTTCTCTTCAAAAACCACGCAACCAAGTAGAGAGTGGGGTGAAATATCTAAAATGTTGAAAGAAAAAAACTCCACCAACTTAGAATTCTGTATCCAGAGAAATTATTCTTCAAAAGTGAAGGAAAAATTACTTTCTTAAACAAACAAAAATTGAGGGAATGTGTTGTCAACAGGTTGCCTTGTAAAAAATGTTAAAAGAATTTTTCCAGAGAAGAAAAATGATATGTACAGGTCAGAAACTTAGATCTACATAAACAATGGAAAGTTATTAGAGAAGGAATAAATGAAGGTAAAACAAAATCCCTTATTTTTTATTCTTTCCTGATTTAACATTAAATTTTATCCAAAATAATAGTAATAAGGTATTCGGTGATTATAGCAGTTGAGTAAGTAAAATGAATGACAGCTATGTTATAAAAGAAGATAGGGAGGAATTAGGAATATTCTGTTATAAAGTACCTGCACAACCCATGAAGAGCTCTAGTGTTATTTGAAAGTGGACTTAGATTAGTTGTAAATGCATATTGCAAGCTCTAAGGTAACCACTGAAATTTTTTAACAAGTGTATGTTAAAGTGGACAGAAAATGGAATTACATAAAATGCTCAGCTAAAACCAGAGAAGGCAGGAAAGAACACAATAAAAAAAGAACAAGGGCAATGGATAGAAAATAGTTACAAATATGGTAGATATTAAACCAGCTATATCAATTATCACTTTCAATGGGAATGGTCTAAATATATCTAATAAAAGACAGAGATTATTAGAGTGAATAAAATAACAAGACCAACTACATGTTATCTACAAGAAACCCACTTTATAAATTAAAGACACAGATTAAAAGTAAAGGAATGGAGAAAGATAACAACATGCAATGTTAAACAAAACAAAGCTGAAGCAGCTATACTAATTTCAGACAAAGTAGAATTTAACAAGGAAAATTATCAGGGGTAAAGAGGGGCATTACATAACGATAAAGGGGTCAATTCTGCAAGAAGACATAACAACTGTTAATGTGTATGCATCTAACAACAGAGTATCAAAATATGAGGCAAAAACTGATAGAACTGTAAGGAGAAACAGACAAATTCACTATTACAGTTGGAGACTTCAACACCCCTCTATCAGTAATCAACAGATCCAGCTGGTAGAAAGTCAGTCAGTATATACTTGAACTTAACAGTATCATCAATCAACTGGATCTAATTGGCATGTATAGAATACGTCATCCAACAACAGCAAAATACATTCTTTTCAAGCTTACGTGAAACATTCACGAAGACAGACCACATTCTGGGCCATAAAACACACCTTAACAAATGTAAAAGACTAGAAATAATACAAAATATGCTCTCAGATCACAATGGAATTAAACTAGAAATTAATAACAGTGATAACTGGAAATCCCAAAATATTTGGAGATTGAACAACATATTTCTAAATAACACATGGGTTAAAGAGAAAGTCTCAAGAGAAATTTAAAAATATTTTGAACTAAATGAAAACGAATATACAACATATCAACATTTGTGGGCTGCAACAAAAGCTGTGCTTAGAGGAAAATGTATAGCATTAAGTGCATATATTAGAAAAGGAGAAAGATCTAACATCAATAATCTAAGCTTCTACTTTAGGAAACTAGAAACAGAAGAACAAATTAAATCCTAAGTAAGCATAAGAAAAGAAATAATAAAAATTAGGTCAGGAAATTAACAAAATTGAAAACCAAAAATCAATAGAGAAAAATCAACTAAACCAAAAGCTGTTTTTTTTGAAAAGATCATTAAGGTGATAAACCTCTAGCCAGGATAAGAAAAAAAGAAGACAACACAAATTACTAATATGAGAAATATGAGGGGCCATCACTACTGATCCCATGGACATTAAAAGAATAAAGGAATATTATGAATAATTCTATGCTCAGAAATTTGATAATTTAGATGAAATGGGTAATTTCTTGGAAGACACAATCTACTAAAATTCACCCAAGGAGAGATGGATAACCTGAATAAGCCCATATCTATTAAAGAAATGGAATCAATGATGAATAACATTCCAAAACAGAAGTGCCAGGCCCAGATGGTTTCAATGGTGAGTTGTACCAAACATTTAAGGAAGAAATGACACCAATAGATAGCAACAGTAATCAAGACAATGTGGTATTGACATAAGGACAGACACACAGATCAAAGGAATAGACTTGAGCATCCAGAGGTAAAATCAAGTGCCTACGGTCAACTTATTTTCAACAAGGGTGGCAAGGCCTTGCAATGAAGAGAGAATAGTTTTTTTCAACAAGTGGTGCCAGAATAAGTCGATAGCCACATGCAAAAGAATAGAGTTGGGCCGGGCGCGTTGGCTCATGCCTGTAATCCTAGCACTCTGGGAGGCTGAGGCAGGAGGATAGTTTGAGCTCAGGAGTTCGAGACCAACCTGAGCAAGAGTGAGACCTCGTCTCTGCTAAAAATAGAAAGAAATTGGCTGGACAACTAAAAATATATAGAAAAAATTAGCCAGGCATGGTGGTACATGCCTGTAGTCCCAGCTACTCAGGAGGCTGAGGCAGAAGGATCCCTTGAACCCAGGAGTTTGAGGTTGCTGTGAGCTAGGCTGACGCCACAGCACTCTAGCCTGGGGAAAAGAGCGAGACTCTGGCTCAAAAAAGGAAAAAAAAAAAAAAAAGAATAAAGTTGGGTCCTTATAAACCATGTATAAAAATTAACTGAAAATGTACCAACCACCTAAATATAACCAAAACCATAAACTTTTAAAAGAAAACTGAGGGGCAAATCTTCATGACCTCAGATTTTGCAATGGATAATTTTTTTTTTTTTTTTAAGAGACAGGGTTTCACTTTGTCACCTAAACTGGAGTGCAGTGTTGTGATCATAGCTCACTGCAACCTCAAACTCCGAGGCTTCAAGCAATCCTCCCACCTCAGCCTCTCTAGCAGCTAGGACTACAGGCAAACACCACTATGGCCAGCTAATTTTTTAAAAAAATTTTTTTGTAGAGATAGGGTCTCTCTCTGTTGCCCAGGCTGGTCTCAAACTCCTGGCCTCAAGTGATTCTCCCACTTGAGCCTCCCCAAGTGCTGGGATTATAGTTGTGAGCCACCATGCTCCGCCTACAATGGATTCTTAACTATGATGCCAAAAGCATAAGCAAATAAAGAAAAACTAGATAAACTGGACTTCATCAAAATTAGCCTTTTTGTGCTTCAAACAATACCATCAAGGAAGTACCATCAAAAAGACAATCTACACAATGGGAGACAGTAATTAGCAAATCATGTATCTGATAAGGGACTTACATCTAAAATATATAAAGGACTCAGTAATAAAAAGACAAACCCAATTTAAATATAGGCAAAGGATCTAACCAGGTATTTCTCCAAAGAAAATATACAAATGGACAACATGCACAGGAAAAGATGCCCAACATCACTAGTCATCAGGGAAATGAAAATAAAACCACAATGAGATACCATCAGTCTCATAATACGTGTTGACAAGGATGTGGAAAAATCAGAACCTTCATATGCTGCTTGTGGGAATGTAAAATGCTACAATCACTTTGGAAAACAGTATGGCAGTTCTTCAAATGGTACACAACAAACTTACCATATGACCTACCAGTTTCACTGCTGGGTACATATCAAGGAAAAATGAATATATATGTCCATATAAAAACTTGCACATAGCAGCATTATTCTAAATAACCAAGAGGTAGAAACAACCCCAATGTCTAACATTAACAGCTGATAATGGATAAGTAATGTGGTATACTCTTTTTTTTTCCTTTTTTTGTAGACAGGGTCTTACTCTGTCACCCAGGCCGCTGGAGTACAGTGGCCTGATCACAGCTCACTGTAACCTTGAATTCCTGGGCTCAGGCAATTCTCCTGTCTCAGCCTCCCAAGTAGCTGGGACTATAGGTGCATGCCTCCATATTCAGCTAAACTTTTTCATTTTTTGTAGAGACACTGTCTGTGTTGTCCACACTGGTCTCAACTCCTGGTCTCAAGAGATCTTCCCACCTCAGCCTCCCCATGTGGGTATATTCATACAATGGAATATTATTTGATGTACAAAGAAATAATGATACATGCTATAACATGGATGAACCTTGAAAACATTATGCTAAGTGGAAAAGCCAGTCACAAAAGACCACATATTATATGATTCCATTTATGTGAAATGTCCAGAATAGGTCAATCTATAGATATAGAAAGCAGACTGGTGGTCGCTTGTGCCAGAGGCGATGGTGGTATTAGGGTAGAAGGTCAAGGGTGCAGGGTTTCTTTTGAGGTGATGAAAATGTTTCAAAATTAACTGTGGTGATAACTGTATGTCTGTGAATGTACTAAAAATTATTGAACTGTACACTTTAAATGGGTAAATAGTATGGTATAGGAGTTATAGCCTAATAGAGCTCTTAAAATGTCCCTATTTTTAGAGATGCAAACTGAAGTTATATATGTTTAGAATATGCTTTAAAGTACTTAGTAAAGAGGTAAAGAAAAAGGGGGGGATGGGTTAGATAAAGCAAGTCTGGCAAATCTTGGTAGTTTTTGAATCTTGGTAATGTGTACATGGAGGTTTGCTGTGGCTTTTCCCTCAGCCACACATTGGACAGTTGTGGATAAGGGTGACTGTTAAATATTTTGGATCTATACTATGTATCTGTTTGAAAAATTTTCTCTTAAAAAAACGAACAAAAAAAAAGGCAAGTACTTCCAAAACAAAATACAGAAATTCTTCTCCAAAGCATCATCTAATTATCTGGTAACTAGCTTTCTTGATTCGGGTAGGTTTTAAGTATAATAAATACTAAACAGTACTTTGAGCAATCTATCATTTTGCCTGCACTATAAAGTAGTTTTGCTTTAAACTGGTATTTACAAAGATGAAACCTATAACTTTACATTTAACAAGATTTTAAATTACACCCATTTACTACATAGTCTATTCTGGATCCATTTTTCCATTCTCCTGGTTCAGTAAGCACTAACATAGGCATGTGGTTCTATTTAATAATTACAGTTAAGATGAACAGCGAGGGGAATCACAGCAATATTTATCACTAAAGTTACCTGCTGATACAGCACCGATAATTGTCAAAATATATTCTTCCTCTCTCATAGGCTATAGGTGACTTGGAATGAGTTGTCCAAACATTCTTAAATTTTGTACTTTCCTGAAAGACACAATGAATTTTGGTTTAGGAAAGAACCCATAAGCTTCTACTGTGTACCAATTTTAAGTTGGATAGTTAAATTTACAGTTTTCAAAGTAACTTCACACACATTATTTAAAAACATTATTTTGCATTCTTCCTCACTATGCTCTCACGTTTTAGTTTAATGGCATGACGGACTTTCAGAATGACTGTTTGCAGGAAGACATAAGAAGCTTAAAATTAAAAACATCTGACAGCCCTATAACACTTATTTACTAATCTCCCGTATTCAGGGCTAGTACCATCCTCCCCATCACACATGACCCTTAAAAAATAGGGTCCTAGCGTGTAAAAACTGCATCCCAGCAGCAGGCTTGGCCACCGGGGGCCCCGCTGCCCTTCCTCCCGCCCCTGCCCGGCGAGCGGTCACCTGGCACACCAGCGCCCGCAGGATGCCTAGGTTCGTCCTCTGCACCACGCCTGCGTCGCGCGAGAAGCTGCCCAGCGCCCTACGACTCAGCCGGTGGCACACGTTGGGCTTCCGGGTCGGGCCCATGGAGGCGTAGGCCGGGCGCTGAGTTAGCTGAGCCGAAGGGGCGCTCCTCCACACTCTCGTGCTGGGCAGCAGCCGCTCCTTCCGAACCTCGAGGCCTCAACTTTACCGGTGGGTACCTGATGGTGGAGCGAGGGGAAGGAGAGCTGGCGCGCGGAGAACAGCGAAGGAAAAAATACCCACTTCCCAGCCTGCCTCTCAAACCCTCTCCGGCTGGTGACAGCGGACGCTCCAGTACCATGCGGCCTGCCGGAGCCGCTCGCTCATCGGGAAATGTAGTTCCCAGTGCCTCTTGAGGAAGAGGCGCTTCTTCCCAGAACTACAATTCCCATCAGGCACCGGGGAACGTGTCCTCGCCCCAGTCCCGCCTCAAACGCGCCGCTTCCCCGCCTCCAGCCCCGCCTCCTGTCTGTCCCAGCCTCGTGGCCCCGCCTCCTCCGGTCCAGCGGAGGCTGCGCCGTGCGGCTGTCCCGCTTTTCTGGGTCCGCTAGCGGCACGCGGAGGAGAGTCGTGGGGGCGCTGTGTTGCCGCCTCCTGGTCTTCTATCGTTGTCCGCGCTGTGCTCTTAAGGATCAGTCTGTTACCACGCGGGTACTTCCAAGCCTCTCAGACCCTGACTTTCACTCTGGAAGGCTGTGGCCAGGCGCCGGGAGGGGCGCTCTGTCGATTGCAAAACCCTCCCTCCCCCAAAGCAGCGTCCTGTGCTGAAGGTACGCCCCGCGGCTTTCTTTTCAGCCGCACGTTGGACTTTGTGGATGCGAATGAAGGTTAAACGTTTAGGGTGTATAAACACTATGCTTTTATATTATGAGTTAGTGGTGGAAGATGCTGCCTTTCAATTCAGTCCTAGTTTGGTCTACCAAACTAGAATTGAATTACCCTTTCCCACAGGCCCACCCTTATGTGGCCTGCGGGGAAAGTAGCTGGTTTTGCGATAATTGCTGCCTTTTCTTCCTCTCACCTCCATTTTTTTCCTTATAGGAAATAAAATACGAAATGCATACATTCTTATTGGGCTGCCTAAAATATCCCTCGTTGATTTCTCTAAATAAAAGATATACTTTGTTAACTAGTTCTGCCTGTATGTTCAAAGTAACCAGCACACGAAATTTTCAATAATCATGCACCAGATGTGTCTCATTGCTTTGCAGTAAGTTCCTTGAGGGTGGTGTCTTTGCATCTCCCACGTGGACTTGACATGCTACCTCTTGTTCCTACGATAGATGCTCAGGGAAAATGCGCGATCGCATCCGACTGGCAGAGTAAAAAGTACAGTAAGACAGGTCCTCGAATAACATTCTTTTTGTTCGACGTCGTTTTGTTATTATTTGATGAAAAGAAAATTCGATTGCACATTGGGCTGCTGTTTGTGTGGCGTTTGCACGTTCTCCCTACGTCTGCATGGGTTTTCTCTGGGTACGCGGTTTCCTCCTATGAATACATTACAAAGATTTGCAAGTTAGATTCAGTGGCCAGTGTAAATCATCCCAATCTGAGTGAGTGTGGGTGTGAGTGCTAGAGGGAATGGTGTCCTGTCTAGGGTTGGTGCCCTGGCTGCAGGGATAGACTCAGGCTACCCTCAACCCTGAACTGGAGTAATTGAGTAAATAATTATCTTACTTGTTTTTATTAATCTTTCGCATGTTAAATATACGTATAGCTCACGTTTATTTCAGTGTTTAGTATTACAAGTGTTTTGGTATTTGTTTAGAAGTTCGATGATGCTTTTGTGACCAGAAATATGCCGTAGGAACTTAACTGTTACTTATATCAATTAGCCTATGGTGAAATTGGTTTTGTTATATGTCATTTTGCTTAAAGTCACAGTTTCCAAGACCTATTGATGATAAATGAGGACTTACTGTACTGGGTAAGTTTGTTGGGTCACAATTTAAGTGCTTAGTGAAAATTTGCTGTATCTCTTTTTAACCCTGCTGAATTTCCTTCAGGGCCTGAGCTTTTGCTGATTTTTCATGACTTATTTACAGCATACGGTAGAGTGCTTTGTATATTTTTAGAGAGCGCTACAATAGTTAATTTGGTAATTCAAGAATGCAGCTGTCACTGAGAAAACTGGAACCCAGAAAAGATAACTGGATTTTCTTTGGCTGAAATGAAATTCAAATCATTGCTGAATTGAATTCATCATCTCTCTCTTTTCTCCTTCCTCTTCGACTCCCACTTGTTTGTCTTCCTTCCTGTGTTCTTTATCTCACCACCAAATCACCCAAGGGAGACTCATCCTAGATGCCCCGCTTTCCCTCACCCACAACCACGTCCTTTTGATTCTCTTATCCATCTCATTTTGATTTCATCTAAGTAACTTAGGGCCTCACCATTTTTATCATATTATTTAATAGCATCCTAACTACTCTTTTTGCCTTACTTCGGTACTTTAAATTACAACCCTCCACACTGCTGCCAGAGTGATTTTTCTAAAGCACAAGCTGTCACTTACCTGTTTCAATCTTTCAGTGGCTCCCAGATACCCATAGCAGAATTTCTCAAACCTGAGAAGATACCCAGAATCCTCCATCATTAACTTAAAATATTTTTAGTGTGTCACATATATGCAAATATAAAACTAGGTATAAATTTCTCATGTGGTATATTTTATGCAACTATAACACTCAACATTTATAAACTAAATGAAGCCAAATTATAAAACCAAGAAATTCAAATGAATACTTATTCATTGTGACCATGAAACTGTTTTGCTGGACATAAAGAGCTCTAAGAGTGGATATATCCTGTTCTCTGTGGTGTACATTCCTTACAGAAATGCCTGTCCACGTTGCCCTTGTGTTGAGAGATTACTCGATGCCCTCACCTCTTTGTTGAAATCTCTGCTGAGCTTTCCTTTGTCCTATGTATCATGGCTTCATTTGACCTTCACTTGACAAATAACATAATTTACATATATTAATAGTAGTCCCCATTTATTTATTTATTTTTTCCCCCACCTGTCCCTACTCAGTCCTCATTTATTTCTTATTTACTTGCACCAGTGACAAATGGTACCACTTGTTTAGCAATGCACTCCTAAACACAAATGTGTGAACTGAAATCTTATGACGGGACCCAATTAAAAGGTGGTCAGTCACATGATCCAGTGCCCTTTTGTTAATTATTATTTTTTTTTTTTTTAGTTTTTTTATCAATTTGAAAATAAAGGTTTCTCCTAGAGAAATCAGAGAAATCTCATAGCCTTGGTGCCACATGTACAAATCCCTAGGGGCCCATAAGGTATCTTATAGAACAAAATCTGAATCTCTGGGGGTAAGATACAAGGTACTCCATTATCTTCATCTTGCCCATGTTTTCAGTCTCATCTCTTTGGCCATCTGTCCTTTTTACTCTTGTGGTTCTGACATGTTTGCCCAGTTTCTCAAGCCATTGTGCCTTTACGCTTAAGATTTTTTTATCTGGAGCTCCCTTCCTCTCCTTTTATCTATTTGTCTTAAAACTCATCCCAGGTATCACAGCTTGGACCCTTTTCCTGACCTCTCCAGCCTTGCGTGTACTTCCATGTTACTTTGCATACAGTTGTGGCACTATATTAGAATTGTCATTTGTCTATCTTCCCAACTAGCCTGGGTAGAAACTGAGCAGTAATATCTTTCTGTGTCCTTAGTACACTGCCCCAAAATGTGGTTAATGCATATCTGTGTTGAATGAATGCATGGACTATAAAAAATAACATATTTGTATAGAACCTATTATCAGCAGCTAAGTACTTTTAGCATAGATGCAAATTTAGTCTTCCTTTATTCTTTAAATCAGTAGGAAATCACAATGTTAATACAGATAAATAACTTTCAAAAAACCTAAACCCCCTGGCTCAAAACTAGCATCAGTTAAATACAACTCACATGGCAGTTAATGTGTTAATCATGAATGGATTTTGAATTTTATCAAAATGCTTTTTCTATATCTGTTGAGGTGATTATATGATTTTTTCCTTTAATCTGATAATGTGATGAATTATGTAACTTCACTAAACTAAACTTGAATTTATTTAGATAAATTTTTGTGATAAGCTTTGTTTTTTATAAACTTTATACATTATACATTTTATACATTTATACATTGTAGGCTTTGGGCAGCTGCTGGCTTCATTGCTCATTTAGCTCTGGACATTTTGCTAGCTTTTAGTCTCTGAGAGCTTCACTTTCTTGCTGGCTCTTGCTGGCTGATATGTTTAACAAAAGGTATATATACATGTGTGCATATATATATATTTTTTTGAGATAGGGTCTCACTCTGTCATCTGTGCTACAGTGCAATGGCATCATTATAGCTCACTGCAACCTCCAACTCCTGGGCTCAAGTGATCCTCCTGCCTCAGCCTACCAAAGTGCTAGGATTACAGGAGTGAGCCACTGTACCTGGCCTAAGATTTTTTTTTAAATGTATTCATCCAGTTATTTAGGGGTGTTATAGTGCAGAAAGGTTTTGGGGGTGTCAAGTTCACCCAATTTCTAGAACTAAAATTCTACTTTTTCATATTTTTAGTGTAAAAGCTTCTGTTAATATAAGATATGGTTTGAATGATCAATTACCACCACTCCTTCCTCTTCTTCTTCTTGTGTCTCTGCACAACCTTGCTCCTCCCTGCTGAAAAGAAGGAAGAATTATGTAGTGGAAAGAGCATCACACCAGGAGTTAAAAGGCACAAGTTCTAGTGCCAGCACCTCCACTTACTAAGATCTTGACCAAGCCACTTACTCTCTCTGAGTTTCATTCAATCATCTGCTAAGTGGAAACACTCAGGATTGAAGTGAGTTCACATGTGTTTATAAATGTGAACCACGTGGTAAGGAGGAAAGGATGAGAAGCAATGATATCAAGTATTCTCTGTTAGGAAAGTGTATCAGAAACAGAACTCTGGGGGAGGGAGTGGGTTGATTAGGTCACACAGAGATTTTTTTTTTTTTTTTAGGGTGGTGAAACTATTTTGTATGATACTGTAACGGTGGATATATGACACTATGCATTTGTTA